TTGATCCCTAACTTGTGGGGCTTTGAGAACTGGATCACAAGGGTGGAACTTCATCAACATATTAATTCATTGATGAGCTCGTACATGAATGAATTATCAGGAGGTAGAACCTAGGTGGAGAAAACATGTCACTAGGGCATGCCTTTAAAGAGTGCACCAACCTAGATTCTTCCTCTTTCTTTCTGTTTCCTGACCACCGTGAGGTGAGCAGCCTCTTCTGCCACACATTCCTCTACTTTGAGGTGCTTCTCAGCCACAGCCCATAGTGATGGAGCCTCTGGAACTCCTGAAACTGTCAGCCAAAAAAAATCTTTCTACTTATGCTAGGTTGATTTTCTCAGCTATTTTGTCATAGTAATGAAAAGCTAACTAGAATGATACCACTGCAAAATATGAGCATAACAGTTTAAAAGACAATTTTATTATCCATATAGATGAAAGACAAGAATACAAAAAATAATTTTAAATGTCATCTTTCAGGGCTGGAGAGATGGCTCAGCAATTTAGAGCATATATTCCTCTTCTAGAGTCCCTGAGTCTAGTTGCCAGCACCCATGTCAGATGGCTCACAACCTCCTATAACTCCAGCTCCAGGGAATCAGCTGCTCCTTTTATGATTCCTCAGGTACCTGCACACACATACACAGACCGACATACAGATACACATGTGCACACATAAGTAAAAATAAATAAATAAATATCTGTTAATATGTTATCAAGCTCAAAAAATATTTTTCAGGCACATTAATTTCTAGAATTTGGATGTAAATATGTAACAAATTATCAACTGAATGTGGTAAAATCTAATATTTTACTACGTGCCTCGTGAGCTAACCCTTTAGGGCTATTCCTCATGAGCAGTATCATCCTCTAAGAGACCTGACAAGATTTTTTTCTTTCCTGAGTATCCCTAGCCATTACTAGCAACTTGCAGATATGTTCCTAAATAAGATCCATCATTCTCCCACCCTTTCAATGGGCATTTTCATTGGTATCCACTGCTGAGATGTAAATTCTCAGATCAGCTATGGCAGAAGGTTCCAGGTCACCTTCCTCCATACAGCTGATCCCTGACACTGCATCCCAGGGATCAAAACAGACTTTCATTCTCTGGAAACTTTAAAGCATTTAACCTAAGCTCTAGGCCACACAGAGGCAAAGGCCTCTTCTGGGATTCAGTTTGTCTCAATGCCTTACTCCTCTTCACAGGGACCAACAAATGTTTTAGTGTAACAAATTTATTCAGATCGTCTCTAAGTTTCACCCCCAAATTCAGGATTTAACCATGCAATGGGACGTTAGAGGACCATCCAATGAAAAAGCACCAAGTATAAATGGATTCACTGTCTTACAACACCAGAAAAGCTATTGACCAAACCTGGACTTGCCCACATTCATTTTTCTTGCTAGTGTTGTTTATTTCAGAAAAGCAGTCTTAGCTTCTTAGCTGTCTCTGCATCTACTGAGACCTGAAAAATTATCATACTTAAGTCTCTTTATTATAAAACATATGCTTTTCATAAATATTTGAGAAAATACTAAGTAGATTTAAGGCTGAGGTGGGTCTGTCCACAGAGAAATGTCAAAGACGACCTCTGTTAATGTTGGAAATGAACTGCCTTTCAGTGTTTTATTTTTCTTCCCCAACAGGTTACAGACTGTTTTTCATAGTTGTGTTTAGGTCTGTAATGTCTTAATGTGCATCTTTCGGTTAACCGTCTAGCAGGCACACATCTTCCCCACTTTCTAGTGTTCTCTTTATCCCAAACCATTAGTGTCCCAGTCTTGAGTCCTTAATATACATGTTGGGGAAAAATAAAAAGGGATCTCAGGAAGGTAGGGAATTTATATGGAAATGAAAAGATACTTGGAGGGAAGGCTAAAGCCTGGCATGGTGATCAAGTGTTCAAGACAGTAGACAATCTGAGTTACATAGCAAATTCAAGGTTAGCCCAACTGTGTCTGAAGAAAGAGAGCTGGGAGTATAGCTCAGGGGTAGAGCTTTTGCCTTGCATGCAGCACAATGCCCTGAGTTCATTCTCTATAAACATACACACACACACACACACACACACACACACACACACACGCACGCACGCACGCACACATGCACACACACGGCTGAAAGTGAAAGAGAAGGCAG